ATCCTACTTTATTCCATGAAAGATAAGGAATCACATGTGACTGAAGTGGTTCTGAAGATTGTGAATTCGCATACTTTTGACAAGTATAACAATTCATTATAGTTTGCCTAATGTCGTTAGTCATATTTGGCCAAAAAATAGACTCCTGCGCTAATTTCAAACACTTATTTATACCTAAATGATTGTAATGGACTCTCTGTAACATATCACCTCTCAAACCAGAAGGAATCACTAAACATTGGCCTTTGTAAATCAAATCATCTACTATAACTAATTCATCCTGATATTTGTAATAAGGCTGGATTTCATATTTGAGTTTTTTAGATGATTTTGGCCAGCCATTCAGTATTATTTGTCTCAATTGAATCAATGCCGAATCAGTAGAGGTTTGATATTTGACTTCTTTCATTTTTTTCTCTGTGACGTTGATCTGAGAAGTTACTAAACATACTTGAGCATTTATTTCATTATCAAAATTCCCATTTGATTTATCATTTAAATAAGCTCTAGACAATGTATCTGCTATAATCAGATATCTTCCTGGCTTATACACTAATTCGAATTCATATTTCATAATCTGAAGCAACATTCTCTGTAAACGAGCTGGACACTTATTCAAGGGTTTCTTTATTATTGATATCAACGGTTGATGATCAGTTTCAACTATTATTGGTTTTCCAAATATATATTCGTGGAACCTTTCTAAACCAAAACATATTGCCAATAGTTCTCTTTCAATTTGTGCATATCCAACTTGCGTATCAGTCAAAGCTTTAGATGCGTAGGCACAAGGAAGATTATTTTGCAGTAATACTGCACCCATTCCAGATTTCGAACTATCTACCGATATAACTGTCTCTTTATTAACATCATAGAACTGTAATACTGGCTCAGTGACTAATATTTGCTTCATTTCATTGAATTCTACCTCTTGATTTTTACCCCATTCAAATATTATATCTTTTTTAAACAACTCTCTGAGGGACTGTGTTTTTCTTGAGCAATTGGGAATAAATTTACTTACGTAAGTTAACATACCAAGAAGTCTTTGCACTTCTTCTTTAGATGATGGTCTAGGCATATTCGTGATGGCACTCACCTTTGATCTATCTGGTGATAATCCAGTTGAAGATACTGTATGTCCCAAATACTTGACCATAGATTTGCCAAAATTGCATTTGTCTAAATGGAATTTCACATTATTTTCTTTGGCAGTTTGTAAAACATATCTTAACCTGTTATCATGTTCGTCTTTATTTCTTCCCCAAATTATTATGTCATCAATATAAATACCACACCCTGCACATGAACTGAAAATAGTCTTAAACCTATCTTGAAAAACTTCTGGTGCCGACTTAATACCGAAAGGCATCCTCAAAAACTTGTAACGACCGAAAGGTGTACCAAAAGTGCATAAATTTGAACTGTATTCATCAAGTGTTATCTGATAAAATCCATTTGCAGCATCTAGTGTGCTAAAATAGGTAGCCCCAGACATTTTACTAACTATTTCTTCTAAAGTAGGGATTTGGCAGTATTCTCTTTTTATGACAGTATTCAAATCCTTTGGATCCAAACATATTCCCAATGAACCATTCGGTTTCTTTACTAATACTAAAGGATTCACCCAATCAGAAGCTTCTTCTACTTTGATAATAATGTTTTGTTTCACCAGATTATCTAGAGATTCCTTCAATTTTGGCAATAGAGGCATAGCTACTCTTCGTGTTGGATGAACTATATAGGTTTAGCATTATCTACCAAACTGATATGATATGGTTCATCAATACACCCAATGCCAGAGAATATGTCACCAAACTCTTTAACTAAATTGCTATAAGTTATATTTCCAATTTGCACTGAATCAACTTTAGCTATCAAATTGAGTTGCTTACAAGATGGCAATCCCAAAATAGCTTGAGCTCTTGTATTGACTACATACAAATCAAGATTATATATTTTCTCGTTATGAATACATTGAAGATTACACATTCCAATTAAATTCAATGTTTTCCCTGTATATGATTTTAACGTTTTATTTGACTTTTTCAGTATGGAATCAGCAAACCCAATTTTTTTCAAATGAAATATAGAGAGAACATTAGGTACATATAGCTCCAGAATCTATTTTGAATTTTAATTGTTCATTCCCCATTAATAAATATGTATACCAGCAATTGTCTTTATTGTTATCTAACTCTAAAGAACCTTTAAACAATATATCATTGTTTTCGCTATTTTCTCGAACCTGATTATTACTTTTGAAGGTTTCTATATCTTTCATTTCATTCACTTTTTGAGTTTTACAACAACGAGATAAATGATTCTTCATTTGACAGTTTGAACAGAATTTCCCGAATGCAGGACAGTTGTTAAATTCGTGATTTGAACCACATCGATAGCAAACCTTCTTATTTTCATTCCATCTTTGTTGCGAATTCCCAAATCTATCAGTTTTCTTGAATATACTAGCACCGGTACTATTTTTATCTCTTCTTGCAAAATATCTTGACTGACCGATGTTTTGTGACTCTATTGCTCCTACTAACGAAGTATCCATAGATTTCTCTGAACCTTCCATAAGCATACATTGTTCTTTCGAATTCTCAATAATTTGGCATAAATTCATTGCTTGATCTAGTGAAATTCCATCCTTCTGCAACAAGATTTCTCTCATATCCTTGCTTTTGACACCACAAGTTATCATGCATTTAATCAGTCCATCTGTCAAATGTTCAAATTTACACTTTTGTGCCTGTTTTTTTAGTTCAGTCACAAACTGTTCCAATGTTTGATTTATCTGTTGGCGATAAGTGAAAAATCTGTATCTTTAGAATGACAAGTTTTTTTTTGGCAGGAGATGTCCTTCAAATTTCTGGAGCAATACGTTTAGTTTATCCTTTTCACCATCTTTGAAATCGAATGTTGTATAAATTCGAAATCCTTCCTCACCAATGCAGTGGAGTAATTGGGCACATTGCGTAGATTCGTCCTTTTTATTGATTTCAGAAGCTTTCAGGTAGTTTTCAAAGCGGCTTCTCCAAATCTTCCAATTTTCGGATATCGATCCTTCTATTTTTAATGGGCTTATAATATATTTCTCAGCCATTTTACTCAGCATGTATTATTGCTACTCCAACGAGACTGCGCCATGTTTTATAGGTATTTATTGATCCAAATTATCAATTATACATGATATCAAAATTGACAAAATGTTTGTTATCCGTCTCCTGGACAACCTTCACCATTACATAAACTCACACTAGATTTAAATGCATATGAACCTACTGGGTGTACAATCCTAACATACACCACAATCAATATTATATAATAACAAAAAAAAAGAAAAATATTCAAACTATATACCCATATATACATACCTGTTCGAAATAGAACAATAAATGATCGAATTCAGTTCTACAACCTCTTGCACACAGCACCAAAACCAAAACAGAGGAACAGAGAAAACAAAACTTGAACTTATACAACGATCAGCTCAAAATAGTGAAGACTCAATAGCGTCTCCTATTTATAGTTTCAATCGGTCTTGTTCTTGTTCATCTATCTGTCTCACTCAACCTAGGCATTTTCGAGTGTCCCGAGTCGATCCGATCTTCCCGATCGTAGTTTGTTCTCGTCTGCTCCCAAAGTCCGTGCTCAGCAAGTTAGCAACTGCATAATAATTATTATTCACGATTCGGTAGAATTTTTGGCATTTCGTATTCTTATTTCTTTTCAATCTCGACTGGGTACTAAGATATTCAATGAATATTTTATTCATGATATTTGATGATATTCTATAATAATGATACAATATCGGTTTTTTATCGAATATCCATGAATTATATCCATTAAATATCCATTAGATAGGGCTATCCAATGGATATCTAATAGATATTGTGTGCTGTCTGGGGAAGACGGAAGGTGAGATGCAGGACCCTGTATATTGAAAAAAATACTGATATTTTCAATTGATAGAAACGAGGAAAGGAGATCCCAAAAAAATCTGGAATAATGAATATACTGAATATTCTATCTATCTGAGTCACTTGTTTGTGTCACCGTGTATGATATGAACATATACATGTCTACGTGATAGAGAATATATAGACATAATTGAATCAGAGTATGGTAATTCTGCCGGTTAGTATAGCTATTATTAGCTAATGATCGAATAAAGAACATCAATTGTGATTGTGATGAAACAATTGATATCGATCGGAACAGTTACTTACATGAACTCATTTGAATGACTGCCCCATTCCGAATGATGCAGACAATCCTGACTCTATTGACTTTGTTCGAAATAATCGATAATTTTCTCTGCCATGACATTTTTCAATTAGACAACCATCCTCAATATTATTAGGTAACTCTTCTGTGAAAACGGCCGAGCACTCAGAATAAAAGTATGGTAGTTTAAAGTGACCAAAAATTCATAATAACTGGAGAAAATCACTATGCGATCAGATTCTCCTTGAGTACCTGACATGTGTAACTACCATAGTTGCTGACACGGTAGCTCATTTTTCTGATGATTATCAAGTTATTTTGAATTGGTTTCTTGAACTCAACCGATGCTCGCTATTCCAAATATACTGATTATAGTACAAATCAGGAGAAGAATTGCATGTATTGAGAAAGTTGCGTCATTTCAATGTGACAGAAAAAAATTGAATTCAGAACTCTCGATAATATATGATGTGATAGTATCCAATGCTAGTGTTCATGTATTCATTTATTTTCAGGACTGGCACCTGAGACAAGACACATTATTGAGGACGTTTTTCGCAAAGGGGATTTGCCCGTACTCGTGACCACTAGCACTTTGGCAATGGGTGTTAATCTTCCTGCTCACTTGGTTATTATCAAATCCACAAAGTGCTATGACAAATGTGGTTTTCGTGATTACTCCGAAACTGCAATTCATCAAATGATAGGCAGAGCAGGTCGACCTCAATTTGACACTAATGCCACAGTACTCATTTTGACATCTAAAGATGACCAGGTAGGTCCATATTTTAGTTTAGAGCCAACGTCTTGTTCTATAACTATCAATAATCTCAATAAATGTGGAAACGATCATTATTCAATCAGAATATGAATGCATCAATAATACAGTGTGTGCGATTCCAACCCAATACCCTTCTAATTTGGGACCTGTTGACCTACAAACAAAAACAGAAATTCTATAATATAGTTCTCAACGAGCCCTATTCAAGAATTTGAACAAATTTGAAACATTCAGATTCTCAAGGCCTACTTTTGTTTGTTGAAGTGGTCAAAATTGCAAGAAGCACTATCAAGCAGTTTTCTTCAGAAACTGGCATAGCTGAAATACCTTCATACAAAATCTGAATGCAAAATCTCATATAGAGTGTTAGTTATTCAGTGGCAAATTTTGATGTATTTGATTGTTCGATTCACCCTTTATCTGAGGAGCTGATATAACCGGTAGGAAAGTCATTCAATGAAGGAACACATCGAATACTCAGATATGAAGTTTTTTAATTGTATAACTTCTACACGAAGATCTCTCTAGGTCAAGAAAAATAAATGAAATTGAAGTTGACAAATTTTTTATACTTAGTGATCAATCTCTCTTTTTCCTGACAATATAAATAATGGTACCAAATCTGGGGAAATATTCTTTATACATAATAAATTCTTTTGTCATCTCGAATTTTCCTTCCATCTCGCCAAAATTGGTATATTATTATGAAAACATTGGGTATCAGTAAATCTCCTTGAGTCTCTGGATAGTGTTTATCTGTCATTCGTTTTCAAAATTTTGACTCCTCCAACAATCTAAAGTAGGCCATGAAAATGTGAATATTTCTGATTTGTCCACATTTTCAAAAAAAGCTCGATTAGTACAATATTATGAGATTTTTCTTTTGAAAAATCAGTCGACAAGTTCCAAATTAGGAGGGGTGTAACAGATTTATTTCATACTAATTAATAAATGATGTCATGAATTAATAAATAGTTATCCTAGTTAGGGTAGGTAGTTACAAAACGAATAAATCTAAATATCATTTTTGTTATAACATTTATCTTCAATCTTTTACATATTCAAGCAGGAGTTTTGCGCACGCCTATGCTCAGTATCTGACCATTCTGGTTTCTTGCTACTTTTTGTAAAACGAAAAAAAATAAGTCGAATACGTTTCGGGAAAAGTGTATCGGAGAATCTGCGCCACCTTTAACTAGCAATTTCGAGAGAGATTTGGAAAACCATTGTTCATATTGCAAGTTTGCGATACTCAAATTTTACGGATAAATTTGGAATTTCCATATGATTATTCTGGAAGTATTGTTGGATAATTGAGATACTGATCGTATTCCGGAACTTATCACCAAAGAATTTTGGGTTCATTATTAAGAAAACCTCTTCAATTGCTACCACTTCAAGCCACACTCCACATTTCCATAAGTTTCATTCAATTAACCTTCTATTACTCGCGCACGGTGTATCGGACCGGCCCATAATTCATTCCGGCCTAATTTCGACATTCGCGGCGGTGCAGCGTCCCTCCTCCATGTACCTTGCCAGTACGTCTACAGCTAACATCGCCATTCATAATTATCAGTTGATATGAAGTGCTACCTCAACACGGTGCAGAAGACCGGGTGCGAGTATACAAGTGACCTATTTTAATCATTTTTTCATTAAAAAAACAGAAAATTCAAATACCTCTGTCAAAACTGTTCAAAATATTTGTGTCTAGAACATATCAAACCAATGTGTGATGTTTGTTATGAAAATTTAGGATGATTTTTCTTTGAAAAAACTTTTCACTTCTGTTTTTGTGCTTGATATATTTATTTTGTGAAATAATTTGGAGTATATCTCATTCTGCTCCAACATTTTATGATCATTATTTATTGAATTTTCCGAATTACACTCAGAAATATCATAATTTATTAACCGGTCTGACGGACCGTGCGCGAGTTACTAAGTAATATGATTCCGCGCGAGTAATGGAAGGTTAATAATCACTTTCTGTTGAATTTTTGTATAATGAATTCTTGAAATGTTTCTCATGTCCACAATCATTGCATTTTCAATTATATTTATATATAGCGAGCGGTATTATGATGATTTTTTCGTTTTAGGGCCTACCATTGGGTACCTACCTCAGTGCTCTATACTTCTTTTGATTGCTCGTGTGACTCATATGGAATGTCGATTCATATATATATATATATATATATATATATATATATATATATATATGTAGAAGTAGGGTAGTCGTTGCTGACTAGTTAGGAATGAACTAGTAAATATTGGGCACTGCAGCAAAGTCAAAAGAGTACTCTTTAAAGTTGGTCCAAGCTTTCGAAAATCTTTATTTTCATCATCAGGGAGTCTGTAAAGTGATTATTCATGAGTATCATGTAGTTCAAGTGATGAAATCTGTGTGTACTTACAACTTTGTTGAGGATGGCTGACATGATGTTCATGTATGATTTCTTTATGTGTCTTGGTAACATAACTTGAATTAGCCCAAAAGTCATCGATAAAAATACATTACATTGAATAACACAAGTTAAAACATTATAAAACTAAGTTAAAAGTCACATCTTCCACCACATGGTTGGAATTGTTCGAAGATAAGGTTATTGCAAATGGTGCCGGGAAATGAGTTTTTTTTTTTGAAAAATGAATATGACTGACATATGACAGTGTGTGTGAAGACAATTGTCATGTCAAAAATGCACAACAGAGATACCAACAGACAATGCGTATTAACGTTGAAAACTGAAAATTGAAATGATTATGAGTTATCTACAGACAGTAAAAAAGAACAGATCTCGCTCAAATAAATAATATCTGTTTTTTTATTTATGCAATTATTGCATTGTGATATGAAAGCCATCTCTAAGAAGGTTCTTTTCATCAGATGTTTTTTTCGTGATAGGATTTTAACAGAATCGAAATTCATATGATGATCATATTTATTAACATGTTCTGCAAGTGCACATCTTTCTGGGTGCAGTCTGCAATCACTTCTATGTGAGATTATTCTGTTGGATAATCACCTCAATGTTTGGCCTTTATATATTATAATAATAATAATAATAATAATAAATTTTTTCAATAAGCGTTAATACAATAATCAATATGAGTTAGTGTTATACATTTACCGCTTATTAAATAGGTGTGTATTCATGCCAGCATGCCGAAGACATGGTGAAATGATTTTCAATACACCCTGTGAAAAAAAAAAGTGTACTCTCATGAGAGCGTATTAATATAATATATGTGTAATGACTATATTACTTAATATAATTAACCTAAATAAGCCTCAATTCGTTGATATCAGGATAGGTAATATATAAATGGTATAACATAAGTACAATCTGGTAACATAGAGTATGGCTAGCATGGTAGGTGAAACTTCACATCTCTCACTAATTACAAGTTTTAAAATTATGTTTTTTTTAAGTATCATATTTTGAAATTGATATCTATTGACCCATCAAGTAATTTATTTTTCAATGCATTTCTAAGATTTTTTATCGACATTTTTTTAACATTCGAAGGAATCATATTCAATATTTTACAAATCATATACGAGAATGAACCTTTAAAGAGTGGTGTAGAGTGTGAGGGAATTGTGAGTATATCTTTCCTCCTGATATTCAAATTGTGAATATCACTCCTGAATCTCACTTTCTCATACAGATAGGCTGGAGTCTTGTTATTGATTATTTTTAGATACAATAGACTAGCATTAAGAAATCGCCTTTGTCGTACAGTCAACCACTTTAACTCTTTCCTCTTTCTGGATACTCTTTCTCGCCGTTTTAAGTTATAAACAATTCTCACACATACATTTTGAATACGTTGCAACCGTTGACTGTCATGTTCTGTGATGCGTGGGCCATAGATTGGGTCACAGTAGTTCATGTGCGAAAATACAAGGGATTCACATAAAACTTTCTTTGTTCTATGGTCAAGTATATTTTTATTGTTTTATATGAGTTTTATATTTGTGACTGATTTTTTTATTATTTGGTTAACATGTTTCTCAAATTTTAGCTGGTCATCCAGGTAGAGACCTAAATTTTTTGCACAGGAAACTGAGCTCAAAGGTTCTGTGTTTATCACAATATTAACAATTTCTTTACATTTCTCTCTAGTAGATTTCCGACCAAACAGCATGACTTGTGACTTACTGGGATTTATTTCTAAGCAAATATTTGGCATAAGGCTTGTAGATCATTGTTTATAATGGTATTACTTTGTAGGACATCTGTGGGAGAGAAAGAATAAAAAATCTGTGTGTCATCTGCATAAGAATGACTTTTACAACTGATCAAACATTCCTGAAAAGATGACGTATAAATCGAAAATAAAAGTGGACCCAGGATAGAACCCTGTGGGACACCGCTTGTGATTTCTTGGTACATAGATACATTATCTTCATACTTTACTGATTGCTTTCGACCTAAATAAATACTGATTCATTATTTCTACAGAATTTTCATCAAATCCAATATGCTGCAACGTTGCCAGTAATAGTCGGTGATTAATTCTGTCGAAAGCTTTACTATAATCAATGAGGACGAGCACTGTCAATAAGTTTTTGTCAGTTGCTGACAGAATATCATCAACTATATCATATTGGTTATTACAATCATGGCAAGGAATACTATAAATTACATTTGTGTTTGATAACAAGGGCACATTATCTTTGACTTAAGTATGCAAGGATTTGATAGTTACTACTGTTCTGTATGCTATTTTTAAGTTACCTGTTGATGGAAATAGTCTGGTCAGTCGTGGTGTTATCTCTCTTATACAGGGTATTTCACAGGTAGAGGGAAATATTTCAATGGTAGATAGGGGTCACCAAGGTGGTTCTGAAAATACCATATTTGATAGGTCTTAGAGTTTTCATAACGGAGATACAGGGCGATTTATCGATTTCGAATAATTATTCATTCGTCTATAAGTATTGAACTACCCAGTATATTTTTCTAAAATTTGGTATGGAG